GGTTTTACACCAAGAAAGACTCTTTACATTACGCTTACTCTAAAGCAAGGGACCTTATGCCCTGAAGACAAGCCAATGGGATTTTGGCCTGCATCAAGAGGAGCCTAGTGTCTGTCAGGATGTTTGTAGTTATTTCACATATATGTTTTTCAATGTGTTAYTATTGTATTTCAAAGATGGATTCAGTTATGTTCAGCTGTGTGCTAGAATTGTAGTCTGTCAAGACCCAGGRGGACCAACGAGGCAAAACAYCAGCTTAAGAGTTAACAGAAGGTCTTTAATGTCAAATGAACAGTTCAAAAGGCTCTTAACAGCAGAGCAAGTAAACAAAAGAGACTGCGGCTGGCAGGAATGTAAACAAAGCCACAGCCCAGGCAAACTGAGCTGCAAAAAGGAAATCTGGCAGGCAGTTCGCAAAGAACACAGAATAAAGTCAGTCCAATAAATCACTAGGCAATAAACATCATGAGGAGCGGTCCAACGATGTCACAGGAGATAGGCAGAAGCGAAGAATGGTCAAGACGGTSCAAGGGTCAGGGCAGGAGACAAGACTCARGATTCCAAGCCAGGCAAAGACGTCAACARGGTCACAAAGGCACGGTTCTGGATACAAGAACTCAAGGCAAGAGTTAGCAGCAAGATGCACAGGAACARGACACTTTGAACTCTGCAACTAGATGGACCCAAGACTACTCCTTAAATCCCATCAGAGTCACTAGATTCACCTCCAGGTGCCTCTAGTTCCACAGGTGAACTGCGTTCTCTCCACTGCTGCCAGTCTGCACTCCGAGCTGCATCCTGCGAAACAGTATCCGAAACCCATGGGTCTGTGAATCCAGGGAACTCATCGCTGGAAGTTGGAGCATTAACCACATCCAAAACCTCCTGAACCCTGGTCCAGTCCAGCTCTTCATCCTCACTGTCAGACTCATCGCTATCTGCTARYTCTTTAAGARGCTTGGAAATGGATTCCTCATCYCTGTCTGAGCTGCYTGCTACTCMCMTTACACCARYGTAATRCTCCACCTCCATTTCCTCACGAGTAAACCCCTGAAAGTCTTCCTCATCYGTAGACTCTAAGAACAAGTCCCTAATGCGCTTCAGCTGTTGCTGAGCCTCTTCCTCTTCCAAGCCTCGTTTCCTCCTACTAGCACTAGTAGATACATGAGGCACACGCTGAGTTACAACAGTAGTCATTAGAGGCAGTGAGAGTAAAAAATCCTTGAGACAGAGATAACAGAAATTCTTTTGCCCAGAGAACAAAAAGGGAGTTAACCAGCTGGAAG